CCCGAAATCTTTGGCCGATCTTCGAGTCCTCGGCGAATCCGCGATTTTGGGATTGGGGATCTGTTTTTTCGTGGTCAACTCGCAGGGAGGGGGGAGGCTCGGGGTCGTGGGCGGCCCCCGGGTGCGCCCAGCACGAACCTCCCCCCGGGCAGGGGGCAGGGTGAGGGTTCCAGGTCGCCGGCGGCACTTGGTGCGAGCGGTACGAAGCCCCCCCAGGAGGGGGGGATTCGTGCCACGGGGTATGTAATGGCCTTCGGTCGATCCCACAACGGTGCCTGGGTTCGGGGTCTGAGGCCTCTTAGATATTCGCTGGGATCTCGTCGAGGCCTCTCGGGGGCCTCCTGTTTTAAAGCCTCTTGGGGCCTCGTTGGGTCCTCTTGGTGGCCTCTTGGGGCCTCGTGGGGGCCTCTTGGGATCTCTCGGAGGCCTCTTTCCTCAGGGATCAACCCCGTGGGCGCAGCTTTTTTTTTTTTTTTTTTTTTTTTTTTTTTTTTTTTTTTTTTTTTTTTTTTTTTTTTTTTTTTTTTTTTTTTTATTCTTTTTTTTTCTTTTTGTTTTTTTGTTTTCTTTTTTTTGTTTTTTTTATTTTTTTTCTTTTTTTTCTTCTTTTTTTTTTTTTTTTTTTTTTTTTTTTTTGATTTTTTTCTTTTTTTGTTTTTTTTTTTTTTTTTTTCTTCTTTTTTTTTTGTGTTTTTTTTTCTTTTTTTTTTTTTTTTTTTTTTTTTTGTATTTTTTTTTTGTTTTTATTTTTTTTTTTTTTCTTTTAGAGTTTATATTTTTATTTTGTTTTTATTTTTTTTTTTTTTAGAGGCTTCGCCATCAGCCACGCTTTCGCGAGGCCAGTGCTCTCCTTCGGATCTGGTCCCCATGAGCAAGAAAGAAAGAAAAAGCCTCCTGGGCGCCTCTTGGGGTGGAAGGCTCGGATTTTCGGTTCGTGCTCCCCCCATGGGCCCCTGTTGAGGCCGTCTTGGGGTCCTCTTGGGCCGTCTTGGGTGCCTCTTGGGCCGTCCCGGGGCCCTCTTGAGCCATCATGGGGCCCTCTTGGGGTCCTCTGTGACCGTCTTGGGGGCGGTCTTGGGGGCTTCAATGGACGTCTTGGAGAGTCAGAAGCTCGAAAAGTTGAGAACCCCCGAAACATTGGAAAGCCACAGGGCAATCATTTTGCCTGTGGACCAGGGCCCTCTTGGAACATCTTGGGGGCCCGTCTTGGGGCCCTTGCGGGCCCAAACAAGTCATGCGACAAAACTCAGGAGCCATGCGGGAAGCCCCGGCAGAGCCTGCAATTTGGGGTCCGGCTTCCGAAGAGATCTTCAGGATTGGGGACTGAGGTTCCAGGGGACCGAGCAAGGGACCTGAGGACACCGCAACTCGTGCCTCAAGGGCACGCTGGCGGATACACATATGTATCGATATACATGCGTGTAAACATACAAGCCTAATCAGCTGCAGCTACACATTTATACATAAAGATACAAACATACACATACATGCACAAACACAGGTGACTAAATATACATACATATGTTCGCCATCTGTGTCCGTTTCCTGATAAGTGCAACATTTCAGGATACCTTGCAGCAGTTGGGAGGTCTTGACACCTTACGCAGTTGTCGTGCCAACGCATCCTGCTGGATGTACGGCTTGTTGCGGTGAGACCTTAGCAGGTGTTCGGTGACCCGGGCAAAGCATTTTGAGAGACTGCGCGAACACCAGGAAGGCCGTGCGAAGCATTGGAAGCCTACAGGCAGCAAAAGAGTGGGGGAGCGCGGTCAGGAAAGGATGCTCTGAGTGTCTTTTAAGCGTGGGGGGGGACCCCCCCGACGGGGGTCAACCTCGCCTCGTCGTCGTGCCGCGACGGGGGTCGGAGCGCCTTCGGCGCGCGGTGGCTGCACGCGACGGGGGTCGATGTCGGGCTGTCGGCGGGGGTGACGCCCCCCCGACGTTTATTAAGAAACTCGGAGTAACATTTGGCCCGGGGAGTGGCGCGTTCAGCCAAGACGTATTCGTTGTTTGCCGGATGGTACCGGGGCGAGGACCTCGCACAACACATACCCATCCCGACGTTCTGCAATTCGATGCGCGGCGTGCACCCTGGGAGGTGCATCCCACGTGGTGTGATCTCTCTCATTCTCTCTCTCTCTCTCTCTCTCTCTCTCTCTCTATATATATATATATATGTGTGTGTTCGCATGTGTATCTCTTATATGTGTGCATCTGTACATATACATAGATGTGCAGGTGTGTGTGTGTGTGTGTATATATATACACGCATTCATGATGGCTTTCGTTCCATCCAGCCACCGTACCTGGGCCGTGGACCTGTGCTGGTGAGCTCCTGCGGGCCTCTTGGGGGGCCTCTTGCAGGCATCCCGGGGGCGTTGCTGGCGCCCGTTGGGGGGCGTCTCGGGGGGCCCACGGGGCCCTCTGGTTGCAGGAGGGGAAAGAACACACAGACACAATTAATCATCGATCCCGAGGAAAATATGGGAAAATATGGGAAGTGGGGGGGAAGACAAAAACACAGAAACTATAGGAAAATATGGGAATATTATTTGTGTGTGTTCTTTACGCTTCGCGTATCCCCACCAGCCCATCTAACAACAGCAACTCTTGCGAAGCATGCCGACAGTCGTGGTTTTCAGGCGTGTGTCCGCTTGGCCCCGCATATCTCCCCTGTTCCTCCTTCCTCCCGCCTCCTTGTACATCCTCCTTGTGGGGGGAGCGGGAGAAGGACGAGGCGGAGGAGGAGGGGGAGAAAGCGCTCCTCGTGGTTTGAGTCGTTTGGGGTTTCTCGTCCTGTTGTGAGTCGTTCGGGCCCTTCTTCCTGGTGTGAGTCGTTCGGGCTCTTCGTGGTGTGAGTCGTTCGGCTCTTCGTCCTGGTGTGAGTCGTTCGGGCTTCTCGTGGTGTGAGTTGTTCGGGCCCCTCGTCCTGGTGTGAGTCGTTCGGGCCCCCCTCCTGGTGTGACTCGTTCGGGCTCCTCGTGGTGTGAGTCGTTCGCGGCCCGCGTCGTGGTGTGAGTCGTTCGGGCTCCTCGTGGTGTGAGTCGTTCGGGCGCCTCGTCCTGGTGTGAGTCGTTCGGGCCCCTCCTTGTGGTGTGAGTCGTTCGGGCTCTTCGTGGTGTGAGTCGTTCGGGCCCCTCGTCCTGGTGTGAGTCGTTCGGGCTCCTCGTGGCGTGAGGCGTTCGGGCACCTCGTCCCCTTTTGGGGCGTCTTGGGGGCCTCTTGGCGGCCCCAGGGGCTTCTAGGAGCGTCTTGGGTGCCTTGGGGGAGCCTCTTCGGGCCTCTTGGGAGCCTCTTGGAGGCCGTTTGGGCGTCTTGGGGGCCTCTTGGCGGCCCCAGGGGCTTCCAGGAGCGTCTTGGGTGCCTCGGGGGAGCCTCTTGGGGCCTCTTGGGGGCCTCTTGGGGACATCTTGGGGGCCTCTTGGAGGCCTCTTGGGGGCCTCCTGGGGGCCTCTTGGGGCCATCTTGGGGCCTCTTGGTGCCTCCTGGGCGCTTCTTGGGGCCATCTTGGAGGGAATCGATCAAAGAAGAGGGGAGCTTTAATGAGCGCTGCCCCCTCAGAAGGGCAACCTTCCCCTGAAGGCCAGAAGGCCAAAACCGTAGTAAAATCAATGATTGTGGCTTCAAAGAAGAGGAGAGGGTTTTTTCTGCCTCCCCCCGTCGGGGCCAGAATCCTCGTGAGGGGTGTCGTTTTTTAGCCCTCCCAGGAGTAGAAAAGGACTCCCCTGACCACCCGCGAGGCGCCCTCTCCAGGCCCAGGGGGAGGGGGTAGGGGGAGGGGTAAACCCCTCCCCGAAGGGGAAGGAGGGTTGAGAACAGAGCGGGCTCTCTAAACCACTCACGCCCAAAGGGCTGGTGGGATTTATTTGTGTGTCCCAGGGGCCCTCTGGTTGCCTGCCGACGGTCTCGGGGGTCTTCTTCGACCGGAGGATTCGCAATGTCACCTCGTGTCCCCTCGCTGGGCCTCTCTTAGGGTCTTCTTGTGTCCGTCTTGGCCCGTTCGCTCCCTGTCTGCCTCCACGTTTCTGCACTGTGGCACACTTCGCTTCAACGGCATCCCCGTTCTGATTGCTCTTCCGCCATCGCAGTTATTCTGCCTAGCCGCCGGCGTAAAATCATTGTGTCCGTTCTGGCCCGTCTTAGGGGGTCGCATAGGCAGTTTTGATCGCCTCTTGGATGAGGTCTATTTGGGCCGTCTTGAAGCGTCGGCAGCTCGAAAAGGTGATAACGCTCAGGCCCATCAAACGCCAACATAACAAATCATGATGTAGGCCTCTTGGGCGGGTTCTTGGATCCTTCTTGGGGCTTATTGGGAGCCTCTTGGGCCGTCATGGGTTCATCGTGGGGTGTCTTTAGGCCCTCATTGGCCGTCTCGGCAATTTCTAGGATCGTCATGGGCTCTTCTGGGGAGGCTCTTGCAGGTTCGTCGGGTCGTTCTGGGCGGGATGACCGTCCCACAGGCCGACGCGACACACCCTCAGAGCAGCCAAGAGCGCTCGACAATTTTCGGAAATCGAGGTCAGAGCTTTTTGATAGTGCCAACGGTTCGTCAATATCGTACACTTGCAGGAGACCTGGAACGCTCCACGGCGTGCTGAAGGCACAGTGGCGTATACACGCTCCACGGCACAAAGGTGCACACATGTATACATACGTTTGTATGCACTGGTTGCAACTTGTGTGGTTCGACGTGCGGAATTCAAAGCATGGGGTGCAACTTGTTGGGTGTTGTCTGCAGGACGCAGTCCACGGGGTGCGATGTGTTGTTGGGGGAGCAAGCCAGGGGCTCACTGGGTGCAGCGAATGTTTGAGGTGCGACGTATTGGGTTCGTATTCTAGGTTGCCTGCTACGGGAGCTCACGTGCGGAACCTTCTGGCGCCCACGAGGAACTTTCGAATTCGCGGACATCTGTCGCCAGTGCCCTCTGTCGTCACCGGCAGGACCAAATAGGCGTCCACCAGCCAAAGTTGGCAGCTTCGGCCATTTCGCCAGCCGGGACCTGATCCGATTGCGCTTACCTTTTGGACCCAGAGGGCCAGCGAGTTCATAAGAAGGCACGCCAGGTATCCTTCGTGCAAGCACCTTCCATGGAAGAGGTAAGTCCAAGCTCCTCGTTTGCCTGGACTGCGATCTTGCGATCACTTTACTTGAGGAAACATTTGAGCCGTCCAACCCAGTTGCCCTGAAGGGGACCATTGGGTGTTGAAGTGAGTGATCTTGGTGCGATGATATTAGCGTGGGTGGTATTCGCTCTCGTAGCCAGCATGCTGGTCTGATTGAGTAGGCCCTTAGTTGTTTCGGCTCATGGGTCGCCATTCTTTACATATAGGGCCGAACTCTTAGAACACTCCCATCTGCTAGTTCGTTGATCGTGAGGTGTCATTGTACCATGCTGCCTGTGGCATTGGCTGTTCTGATCAGCTGTGCACTTCCGTGTTGCCACGCCATCAAGCGTACCGCCGATGCGCTTGTTGACACAGAGATGCCCTCCTCCGTCGACGATGAGATGCCTTCCGCTGATTTCTCGGTTGACAGGGAGATGCCTTGGACAGCTGTGTTTGATGCCCCAGAAGAGGCAAAGTTGCTGTCTTGGTGGCACAAGGGAACCAGGTCCCAGTGGTTAGCCAGCCCGTCGTGGTTGGATCGGAACGCAACAGCAATTGTCACACACGCTGGGAAGAACAATCAAGAGTTCATCGATATGGCAGTGATGTTGGGCATCTCTTTAAAACGTCACGTGCCTGACTACCCCAGAATCGCGATGGGAGTCATGGGGATGACCCTCGAGAACCAGGCGGCTCTGAAGCAGGCTGGCTGGCACGTTGTAATTGTTCCGGACTGGAGGGCCCCCGAGCAAGTATCCGACCTTTGCGGTGACTCTTGCGTCGACGAGGCATTCTTGCTCCGACACCAGGATTCTCTGGAAAAGATCAACGCCTTCAGACTCCCAGTCGGGCGTGTTCTTTTTCTGGATGCAGACACGTACGTTGCGAGTGACAAGTTGAGTCACTTGTTGGATTCCACTCATCTTCCTGAAGGCACCATTGGCATGGTCCAGAATGGGTGTAGGAACGATTTCAATTCTGGCGTCATGCTTTTCAAGCCAGATCTTAACAAGTACCAGAACATGTTGACAGCAGTGGCGCAAGTCATGGTTGGTAATTCGACCAAGCAACATGACGAGCGTATCATCAATTTGGCGTACAAGGACCGCGTAACTGCGTTGGACAAGAAATACAATTGCATGGACCGCACGGTGACGGGCGATGCCACGTGTGATCAGAGTTGCACAGAGGTGGTAGTATCTCATTTCACAGGTCTCCCGAAGCCAGCTAAGGCAGATGAGAAAGTTCTCAGCATTGTCCGGAAACCCTCTTCTCCACGCCTCCATTGTTCCAGCACGAACCGCGGTTCGTGCGGCGTCTGGTCGGGTTTTTATTGCGACCTCGTCGCCAGCAGGTCGTTGTTGACGAAGCCTTTGCAAGATAAGCTTTCCAGCGCGGGCCCGTGTTGCCAATCGCCAGCGCTCGAGGATGACGCGTCGGACTGTCAAGAATCTGAGGACGACGTCTCACCTCTGAGGCAAGGCCAGGAGTCGAGGGCGCATCCCACTTCAATGGTTCAAACAGCGAACTGAGCAAGGATGCCGAGCGCCAGGAGCAAATAGACAGAGCCGCCAGAGGCAAGTAGCAGAGCTGTCGCCAAGAGAAAAGAGCTTGCCTCCGAGCAGCCCCCTCCCACTCGGGGATACCCTGGCCGATGCAACAGCGCCAATCGTTGTTGCTCAGCTTTCCTTCAGCAGTTTGAGAAGCCGGCCCAGCCTGCAGTCTCTTACTTGTATTCGGGGCCGCACATGCCAGGCTGGCTCGGCGTTTGCCCAAGATGCGGCAGGAAAGGTGGCCCAGGCATCTCTGGCTAATCTTTCTGAACCCTCTCCCTCCTTGTATTTTCCTCCTGGCTCTGCCCCCTCCTCCGCTCTCCTCCGAAGAGCATGGATGAGAGGGTGACATCACCGACATCTAACGGTGCGAGGGTGCCCCGCACGTGGAGGGCGCTGTCTGCTCTGAGGGGAAAAAACACACACACAATCAACCGTCGATTCCCATAACACTTGGGAGAATCTGGGAAGTGGGGGGGAAGACAAAAACCCAGAAAATATGGGAACATATGGGGAATCCTGTTACTTGTGTGCATTTATTTGTGTGTCCCAGGGCCCCTTCATGCTCGTGGGGCGGAGCGAGGAGAGGTAGAAGGAGTGCCCATCGTTCGTTGAAGGTAGGCATATTTTTGGATGCCAGGGTTCCGATCTGCTTTGAGCGCCTCCCTGCTTCGGTGGTCGAGTGGCTTCACCTCCTTCCGTCCTCCTTCGGGGGCGGACGGAGCCGAATCTGTGTGCAAGGCCTTCCTACTTCATGTTTCTGCCTGCTGCTTCCGACCGATGGGTAAAACTAGGTGGAAGAGAGGAAGGGGAAGGGGGGGATGGGGGACTGCAGATGGATGGACTACTTGGCGGAGGGAGGCTTTGTTTGGCTGCTGGCTGATACGCCCCCTCACACACGCCGACAGGGTCGGCGTCATGGCTGCGGGTCTGTGCGACGCTTCTGCGGTCGGCTGGTCGCAACCTGTACGCGCGATCTGTCGCTCCCCCCCTCGCCAGAGAAGGAGGAGGCACAGAGGGAGGAGGTGGGCGCTGACCGATGCGCCTCCAGCGACCACTAACGTTGTAGCTGGAGGTCCAGCTCGACGAAGCAGTGGACCACTCGAGCGAGAGCACCTGCGGAGCCGCCAGCCCCCTCCCAGTTGCCGTCCGGCCCAGGCTTTGGCCTCCAGCGCCACCAGCATCACGTACTTAGGCGCACACGCATGAGAGAAGGAGCAGGGTGAGGAAGAGGAGGACCGTGGAGGAGGTGACCACGGAGGAGGTGGAGGAGCATCCTTTCTCCGCCCCTTCCGTGGCCCAGGCCGATCAGGACCTGGACATGAAGCCCGACTCCGCCGACGTCCAGGGCACTGGCTTCGTCGCGCTGGTCGCCTCCGCCATGCGGCTGCTGAAGCGCACCAGGGACGAGGCCTCCTCCTGGGAGATCTTCGAATGGAGTGCTCCGGTGCGTCCCCTGAGATCACGGTGTAGACTTCCGATGCGTCCTGCGATCCCTCTCCTTTATTTGCCTGTCCTTTCTTTCTCTCCTCACCCTTATCATGCTCCTCCGTCTGCTATCGCTCTCCTCCCTTATCTGATCGCCCTCCTCCCCTTCCTCGTTCTCTCCCTCCTCCTCCTCCTCCTGCCTCCTCCTCCTCCTCCTCCTCCTGCCTCCTCCTCAATCCTCCCTCCCCCTCCCCCCCTCCCTACCTCCTCCTTCCCCTCCCCCTCCCTCCCCTCCTCCCTCCTCTTCCTTCCCCCCCCCCCTCCTCCTCCTCCTCCTCCTCTCCTCCTCTCCACTCCCTTCCTCCCTCTCCCTCCTCCCTCCCCCTCCCCTATTCCTACTTTCCCTCCTCCTCCTCCCTCCTCCCTCCTCCTCCTTCTCCCCCTGACCTCCCTCCTCCCCCTCCTCCTCCTCCTCCTGACCCTCCCCCCTCCTCCGCAGCCCCCTCTCACCACCGTTGCCTTCCTTCGCGTCCCTCGCCTTGGTACCCAGGCTGCTCTGACGGGGGCAGAGCGAGCGATGGCCAGACAGAGACCGACCGGCCAGCGCCCATGCACGCGCAGGCCCATCGACCGCTTTGTGACGCCGCGGCTGAGCCCAGCAGCGAGTGGCACAGCCGCCTCCGCCAGGACACGCCGTGTCTCTGCAATGCGCGCCAGGCTCTCGGTGGCAGCGATAGTGGGGGTTAGGCTCGGGGAGGAATGCAGCGACCCCACAGCGCCCACTCATAACCGATAGGGGCCAGATGACCTACCCCGCCCAGGAACGTGCGGCTACGCTATCGAGAGCCTATTGCCGATCTGTCGGGGATGTATCACCGATTCACGCTCGATGTTTGGCCCCCCTGAGCTGGCCCCCCCCTTGTCGTTCTCCCTCCCGCTTCTGCGAAGTGCGCTGGGTCCCAGTACGCCACCGGCCACTGCCCGCGGCGCTGGCCAGCGACCAGGGAACACCCGCAGGGCCAGGCGCCCGCCGCTGGCTGTCTGCCAGGATCGCGGCTCCACGCCCGACGAGCACGGCATGGTCACGAGTCCCGGGTGGCACAGTGCCGCCAAGCAGCATTCGGGGGCGGCCAAGAGCGGGGACGACCAGGGGCATGAGATCTCCCCGGATCTTATGGCCCCATTGTTATTTCGGCCGCGGTAAATGGGGAGGGGGGCGATCAATGGGGGGGCGGCGAGGGCCGCAGCAGAGGGGCCCTTCAGGGCCCCGAAAGGGGCCCTCTCAGGGCCCAGAGAGGTGGCCTTTCGGGCCCGAGAAGGGCACCTTTCTCTCTCTCCCCCCATCTTCGCGTGTTGCTAGAAGTGCCCCCTGGCCCGAGGTGCCCCCAGCTTTTCGCGCCAGTGTGGGGCCCCTGGGGCCCCCGGGGCCTCGTGAGGGGTGCCCTGGAGGCCGCCTGGGCCACCCCGAGAGTCTTGGGGGTACCTCGGGCCAGCAGTACTTCCAGCAACACCCCCCATTTACCGCCCCCTCCATTCAACGACGCCCAGCTTCTTTGGACACGTCCCCTGGTCCCCCACCTCGCCCGAGCACCTGCCTCGGGCTGAGATCTGCGACCCCCCTCCCTTGGCGCCCCCCTCTTGGACGACCCCGAGGCATCCGAGGCTTCTTGGATGTGTCCCTTCGGCGTGCAGGCACGAAGCGTTCAGAGCGGACTGCCAGGTTTACTTCGACGTCGCCGCCGAGGAGGCGCGTCGCTGAGTGCATCCCACATTCACAGCGGGCATGCTGTATGGACATGCGCGTGGCGTGCAGCTTCGACCCACTAACGGCCAGCGGTGCCGACGAGGGGGCACCACTGCAACTGTCTTGCTGATGGGTAGAAGATTCGGGCAACATGCTCAGTCACAGATCGAACGTGAATCAGGGGTTGCCAAGAGTGGACTATATCTAGGGGGTTGGGTATCATGGCTTGGGCCATGAAATCTCTCCGGGTCTCATGTCTCCCTCTTCTTTAAGTACGTCCCCTGGTCCCCCCCCCCTCGTCCGCGCACATGCCTCGAGCCATGATTCACAAACCTCTCTCTTGGACGCCCCCTCTCGGATGCCGCCGGGTATGCGGCCGAGAACGTTGTAGTGGAACGCGCGTTGCGTGAGAGCGCGCGGGCGCGGTGCGGCAGTGCCACGGGCAACAGCCCGCCTCGGGCGACGATGCTTCCTCCGAGGGCGCGCGGGCCGCGTCGCAAGCGAGGATGAAACCGAGCTTCGGGCACAATAAAGAACCACAACCACGGGGAGAGCCCGCCATCCTCGAAATGAACACTTTGGTTCTGGTTGTGGTCCACTCGGCCGCCTGGGGCGCCACCATCGACCTGACTAATTTAGTTTCGGTGGCCTGACGATTGTTAGCATGCGCAAGACATCCTCCAGGGTTTGTCCTCGATGTCGTTGGTGTTGCTTGCTGTCCCTGCACGAGCGCAGCTGATCTCTCAGCGGGAGAGCTGGAACAGGAACCAGCCAGCCGCGTGCGCGTATTATGATGCCCCCCCCCGGCGCGATGCGGGCGTGCTCTGCCCGTGGCAGGTGCTGGAGGTGTTTGACGCGTCAACCGTGCGTGTGACATGCGTTCTCGTCGCCGCCCCCGTCTTCTTTCCTCCCTCCTGCACGCCGGACGAGTCGCCGCCCGCGTGCCCCGAAGAGCCACACGCTGGAGCGGACTGCCTCGGCCTCGCCGCCGACGGCAAAACATGTTTCCTCGTCGAAGGTGTTCAGGCTGGCGCGTGGCTCCTGTCGGTCCGCGAGCGCCTCGCAGGCGGGGCGCGGGCGGTGCGCGGACCGGTCGTTGGGCGCGGGTCGCGGGGAGCGCGGGCTCCGCGGCGGAAGCGGGTGGCGGGCGGGCCATCGGCAGGTCGCGGGCGACGAAAGCACCATGGCCGTGACCAAGCTGCCGTAGGAAACAATACACACACACACACACACACCGCTACCCACAGGGTGGCGTAGGGACTATGGATGAGTCGGGCACGTCCTTCTACAGAAGGAATTTTCAAAAATAGTCAGAAATAGTGTGGGGACGATTTTTTATTATTCCTGTTTATGTTTGGCATATTTTTGGACTTTTTTTTTCGCCCGAAATCCGCCTGTAGGAGGACATGCCCGACCTAAGGCTATGGGTGCGTGTTGTCGGATGTAGGCACCGCTCGAACGGGAGTTTCCCCGGCGTCCGACAACCCGCACCCGTACCCATAGCCAGCCCTCCTCCTTCCGGCCCCCCCGTGGGTATGGCTGTGTTTTGTTCGCTCGTCAGTTACTGTTCAGATACCCTACTGAGTAGGGTCTTGTCGACGCCGATCTTGATCGTGGTCCATGCCAGCCTTCGCCAGTTCTCGAGGGTGGTCCACGAATTGAAGATCACTAAGGTGGACGATGAGCGGTATTGGCACCGACGTTTCGGCGTTCAGTCTGGGTCATGGTCCTCTTTGTCTTTTGCTCCAGTGGAGAGCAAAAGCAGAACGATAATCCGTACAGCTGAACCCCTCGGGACAGCGCAGGAAAGCCGCTCGGGCCCCTCTTCCTCATGATGCACGGGGCCCCGCATGTAAGTATGTATCGGAGCTGGTCTCGTGCGAGCACGAACATAGGGAACATGCGAGCAGCAGTTGTCCCCTCTTTGCTCTTCAGAGTCGCCGTAATTGTCGCCGTCATCGTGCATCCTCCCGTCCCTTCCTCCCGCCGCCTCCCTCCCATACCCTACTCTATGTACCTTTCTCCCCGCCTCCCTCCGCCATCCCCCGTTTTCCATCCCCTCCCTTCCCCCCTTCCCTTTTCCAACGTCGTCCTTCTCCGTACACGCCCTCTTTCAGTTTTTTTTCTCCTAAATCCTTATTCCCTTCCCTACTCCCCTCTTGTGTGGGCGCGCGTATGCAACACAGCAGGTAGTCCTCCTCCCCCTCTCTCCTCCTTCGCCTCCTCCTGAGGTACTGAGGCACTGACGGCAATGGAGTCTTCAAACACTGCCGCTTCGCCTCCTCCTCCTCCTCCTCCTCCTCATCTCCTCTCCTCCTCCACCTCCCTCCTCCTCCTCCCCCCCTCCCCCTCCCCCCTCCTCCTCCTCCTCTCCTCCTCCTTCCTCTCCTCCTCCCTCCTCCTCCTCATCATCATCATCATCATCATCATCATCATCAGCATCACCATCATCATCCTCATCCTCGTCAGCATCAGCATCATCAGCATCATCAGCATCATCATCGTCATCAACATCGTCATCCTCATCATCATCGTCATCGTCATCACCATCATCATCATCATCATCATCATCATCATCATCATCAGCAGCAGCAGCAGCAGCAGCAGCATCAGCAGCATCATCATCATCCTCCCTCTCACACCTCGCCCCTCTGCCTTCCTTTTCTTCCCTATCTTCCCTCGCCTCCCCATCCATCCTTTCCTCCCTTCGCCAGCGGGAGAGGAGGAAGAGGAGAAGGGACAGGGGTCGAAAAAGAGGAGGAGGAGGAGGAGGAGGAGGAGGAGGAGGAGGAGGAGGAGGGGGAAGCGTTCATCCTTCTGCTTCCCTCGGCGGACTCCCCAACTGCACTCGCATGGAGTCCGTTCGTGGTCCGCCTTTTTGGAGCTCTTGGGCCCCTCTTGCCGTCCTCTTCGGCCCCTCGTAGGGCCCCCTAGGGCCACCTTTGGATCATCGGGAGGCCTCGGGTGTCCACTCCCAAACCTTCGAGTCGCTGGCGCCTGGAGCTCTTGACCCCTTCCCCAGGACTGGCTTATGGTACTTTAGCCTGGAATCGGAATTGATGCAATATCTCCAGCGTGATTTGGGGTATCACCACTGGTGGAGACCTCCCGAGGCCCAAACATCTTCAAGCATGCGGTTCCTCGGTAAACTGAGTATCTGTTTCATCCCCCCAGGGCTGAAAACCGCCCTTAGACGCAGAAATCGAGGCAACATGTCGAGCCGAACATGTCGGTCTGCATGTCATCGCGCGCATGCCGGCCCAAATCGACCCCTGTCCTATGGGGTGCGTTCTGGCCAGGATTTGGAGGGCAATCCATCCGTGCCGACGAGAGAGCCCCAGGAGGCCCAATCTCGATATCGACGTAGGCCAATACTTCGCCATCGCCGCAGCTCTTCTTGCAGGGCTCCCACAGGCTGGGCGGAACGGATCTGAAGCACCCGCAGGAACCAGGGGCAGGGACCAAAGAGGGCGAGGGTACAGAAGGAGGAGGAGGAGGAGGAGGAGGAGGAGGAGGCGGAGGAGGAGGAGGAGGAGGGCGGGCGCCGCCTCCACGGCGGCGGCGCGGCGGAGCGCGGCGGGGGGGGGGCCTTGCCCTCGTCGCCCCCCCCGCCCCCCGCTGCCCCCCGCGCCCGCCGCCGCCGCCGCGCCGCGCGGGCAGGCGGCGGGCCGCCCCGGCGCCGGCCGCGCGCTGCGGCGCCGGCCCGTTCGCCTTCCGGCTGGGGAGCGGAGCGCCGAGGCGCGGCCGCCTCTCTCGAGGGGGGGGCGCGGGAGGGCTCCGAGGAGGGCCAGCCGGGGGGGGCCTCCACCCTCCTCCTCCTCCTCCTCCCTCTCCTCCTCCTCGTCATCCTCCTCCTCCATCCTCCTCCTCCTCCTACCCTCCTCCTCCTCCTCTTCCTCCTCCTCCTCTCCTCCTCCTCCTCCTCTCCTCCTCTCCTCCTCCTCCTCCTCCTCCTCCTCCTCCTCTCGGGGGGGGGGGCGCGGGAGGGCTCCGAGGAGGGCCAGCCGAGGGGGGCGGCAGGCGTGCGCCGCGCGGCCGCGGGCGGCGGCCCCTATGATGGTTCGGGGGGGCCCCCAAGCGGGGGGGGGACGGCGCCGTGCGGGGAGTCGGTGGGGACTGCGGGGTCCCCACACGGTTTTGGGGCTCGGGTCGTTCTCCGAGGACGTCTCGGGCGACGGGGGCATCCGGGGTCCCGAGACCGTGCGGTGACGGACCGTGCGGTGAGGTCTTGGGGGATTTCGAGGTCACCGCACTGTTTGTCACCGCCAGTTTCGGGACTCCAAAATGGTGCGGGCGTTCGTGTTCAAGAGGTTGGGTGCTGCCAGTGGCCCAGGCGTGGCCGACAGCGAAGGAGCTGTCCTATCGGAGAGCTGTTTCGGCACGAACGAAATGGGTACGGAAAGAGTGGGTACAATTCCCGACAGCAGGTCCTGTTCATTTCGAGCAGGACTCGCGGTCCACGCCGCCGCGGCCTGCCTGCCCAACAGCGGCCGCTGTTGGTTTGGGACAACATGTGTTGTTGGGCATTGTGGATTTTTTTTCCGCCCCATAAGGGAGCTCCACCGAAGGCGCCAGTGGCAGCGTTCGCATGGCGACCTCGGGCCATTTCGGCACACCCCTCACGAGGATCGTGACCCCATAGAGAATTCCTCTTGCTTCGTCCCACCTGCCCTGCGGTATTCACGTTTGCATAAGGTTGGGTCCTTCGCCAGGATAATTTTTTCCGTACCCATTTCGGGCGTCCAAAGCCGTGGTCGCTCAGGGCTGAACGATCCGCGGGGTGTCAGGCCGAGGGTCCAAGAACAGAGCGCCGCGGCGCGGCTGCCTCGGGGGGGAGGGTCCAGAGTCCAGAGTCGTAGGCGACGACGATGATGATAATGAGAATGACGACGACCACGACGACGACGGCGGCGACGACGACGACGACGGGGACGACGAGTTGACCCAGAGGAGGGCCAGTTGAGAGGCAGATAGCCTCTGGGGGCTGCGGCCCCGTCATTCCTTGCCCTGCACACCGTGCTCGTTCTGCTCGTCCTCGTCCTGCTCCACCTGCTCTCGCTGGCGTTCTTCTGGCCTTTCTCGAGCTCCCTCTCTGGGTCGGAGGCCCCCAGACGGTGTTGTGACCACACCGCGTTGTGAGGCAGTGGGGATTGGGGGTCACCGCGCGGTTGTGAGACTCGGGTCGTTCTCCGGAGGCGTCTCGGGCGACCGGGGCCTCCGAGGTTCCCAAACGGTGCGGTGACGGACCGCGCGACTGGGTCGTTTGGGATTCCGAGGTCACCTCGCCTCGCTGTCCGTCACCACACGTTTTTGGGGCCCCGAATCAGGGGAGGGTCGGTGGAGAGGTGGGAGGCCTCGGGGGGGGGGTCCCTCGTCACCGAGGCTGGGCGCAGCTCGGAAAACTAGTGCTCTTGGACCCCGGGAGGGGTCCAGGGACCGATTCTTGGGGCTTGCCAGCCCCGCGCTCTGGAAGAACCACGGCGTGGCATATTCTTGGCAGCTTGCGGCCTCTGGGGGCCCTTGCAGGGCCTCGGGGCCGTCGCACACGGGCCCCCACTGAGATGACTTTTGGGTTTTGCATAGTTCAGCAAGGAAATTGGAGATAGCTAAACCATATGTAGACGATTTATATAGCTTTTATAAATTACTTATAAACCTCGGACAAACTACTTGTATCCACATGGGAGACATAAATATGCCAGGAAAAAGGCCGTCGCACACGGGCCCCAAGCCCCCAGTGCGAGAGAGGAGTCCCCGGGAAGAGGCCCGGGGGCTTCTGAGGAGCCACGTGGCGGAGCAACCCCGACGTCGTCGGATGCCCTTGTGGGGGCGGGGAGGTCCGAAGAGGGGCGAGCGAGGGGAAGCGGGGGCGGGGGCTCCGGACAAGGAGGGGACTCGGGAGCCAGGTCGCCATCGCGCGAAAGGACCAGCGACGCGAGGGGCCGAGGAGGGGGAGGGGGGGCGATGGAAGTGGAGGAGAGGAGAGGAGAGGAGAGGGAGGACGCGGGGGTGAGAGGAGGAAGAAGAGAGGAGTGACGGAGAGGAAAGGAGGCGGGGGGGAGGGGGAATGGGGGGCGTGGGGGATGGGAGGGGGGTGAGGTGAGGTGGAAACGATCGCGAAGCCTTGTTCAAGCGAACGCCGCCCATGCGCGCCATGAGGACCGAGAGCAAGGTTCACGGAAATGCTACCACGGCAAGCAGTGCGTCACGTGAGAGGGGGACTAAGTCGGGAGGTAGAGGCGTGCGACGAAGGGGCCGAACAAGCAGCCGAAGGCCATGGTGCGGCCCGACGGCTTGTAAAAGTCTAGCAGCGCCCAAAGCGACCGCAGCGGGCGACCAAGTTCTCGGGCTCCCCGTGGTAAGGCCCACGGGCTGGCCAAGCCGAAGCACTTCATCGCGTCTAGGAGGACGGTGGCCGCGCGCAGGGTTTGGCCCGACAAGCCGCCCAGAGGTGGCGCAAAACGACCGGTCTTTCAGCGCCTGGGCGTCTCCTACCGGGCCTTCTCCGCCAAAAGGGGTCACCGCGCTGGCGGGGCCCGACTTGGGCGACATGCTGGATGCGATCATCGGCCATGCCGAAGAGTTTCTGGCCGCGGATCGTCGGGGCAGGGAGTCGGCCTGGAGGCGGTGGGCCCGCGTAGCCTTTTCGAAAGGCGGCGTTGGCGTAGCTCGCGCTGCCGCTGAAATTCGCGCTCGCCAGGAGGTCGCCGGCCTCGTCGCTGAGGCCCACCCCCGTATCATGGCCAACCAAGCTCTGGGAACTTGGAAGAACGCGTGGGCCAAGCATGCCCTGAGTCCTCTTCCCCTTCCTGCTGATGCGCAGGAATGGGACAGCCTCCCATCGCGGTGCCGATGCTGCGGCAGGAGGCAAGTTGGGCTTTCCCAGTGCGCGCCGCGGCTGAGCCCCGCAGAGCGAGACTGCTGCGGGCAGGAGGGTCGCACATTGAGCCAGAATTGGCAATGCATCGCGGAGAGGCCCCCGATGGCTAAAATGTGCGCTCCTGGGAAGGATGGGCTATCCATCAGGCCCCAGGCGGCAAACAATGGGTGATTGGGAGTCGATGCGTTTTCCCTGTGCCTAGCTCCCCTTCACGTTGCCCCTGATCCAGAGGAGTCACAAAACTGCATGCGCGGAATATTTCCGAACACCGTGCGGAAATAAACATCCGCGCGGAATTCCGGGCAATCATGCTCATGCCGTATTCTGTTCTTCCATGGCCCTCCTCCCCCCTCTGCAGTTCCTCAGCCCATCCTCCCGCCACCCACTCCCCACTCCTCCTGGAAGGGGGCCTTCAGCTCTCAGATGTTTTGCGCCGCGGTGGCTCCCCCCCCCAAGGTCCTTCGCTCAAGTCGATCCCGTTCTGCCCGATGATG